GACCTGCAATGCTTGTGGTCCTTTCTTTCCTTGTCTCTTCATACTGTTCGCGTTCCTTTCTACTTGGTGAAACTGTTGTGCTATTGAATTTTCCCCCTATATATTTATATTGGTCTTGTATAGTTGCAAAGTCTCCCTCGCAGGCGCGGGCGGCAGCTCTGTTCCTCTGCGGGCTGCTAGGCTTGTTCTGTCGGTGGTCACAGTTCTGTCTACTTTGCAGGCGCAGGCAGCGGCACTGCCCCTCTGCAGGCCTCTGGGGCTGTACTGTCAGTGGGTCGCAGGTCCGCCTACCTTGCAGGCGCGGGGGGGGGGGCGGCTCTACCCTTCCTCAGGCCACTGGGCCTGTTCTGTCTCTCGGTTGCAGGTCTGGCCTGTTCTGATGGTGGTCACAGTTCCGTCTACCTTGCAGGCGCGGGGGGGAGGGGGCGGCTCTACCTCTCAGCAGGCCGCTGCTCCTCTTCTGCCGGTGGGTCGCAGGCCCGCCTACCTTGCAGGAGTGATTGGAAGCTCTGTCCCGCCGCGGGCCACTGGGCCTTTTCTGTCGGTGGTCACAGTTCCACCTAGCTGGCAGGCGCGGGGGGTGTGGGGCGGCTCTGCCCCTCAGCAGGCCGCTGGGCCTGCTCTGTGCATGGTCACAGTTCCCTCTACTTTGCCAGCACAGGGGGAGGGGGCGGCTCAGCCTCTCAGCAGGCCGCTGCTCCTCTTCTGCCGGTGGGTCGCAGGCCCACCTACCTTGCAGGAGTGATTGGAAGCTCTGTCCCACCGCGGGCCACTGGGCCTTTTCTGTCGGTGGTCACCTGGCCGGCGCGGGGGGTGGGGGGTGGCTCTGCCCCTCAGCAGGCCCTGTTTTGTTAATTTCTAATTGCATTATTTCTAATTGTTGAGTTTTCCAGTCTTTGTATATTTTGTAAACAAGTATGTGTATTGGAATTGCTTTCTCACAGTCTATGGATTGCTCCTTCATAAATGATTTGACTAAAAAAGTTTTTTAAAAAAGTATCACTAGAGGACAGAGATTAAATTATGAATTCAGAGAAAAGTGTGATAACATCCAACTGGTTAAGATCCAGATTCAACATGAACAATTATCAACTCCTTCCCCATAGGTGAACTGCAACTTCTCATATCAGACCAATTCACTCAGATCTCTGTCCACTGCACTCAAAATGTAGAAAAACTCACTACCAGAGCCACTAATTGGGAAGATACAGATTAGGGAAGAAATGGACATACAGGGAGGGGGCCTGGGGTGGGGATATTACCACCACCCCAAGAATTAGAAAGATCTGAAAACTTTTCCCAAAAGCCTGTTATATAATTTGACCCAAACATGATTCATTGGGCTCAAATCTCATTAGGACAGCATGCTAAATACTTGGGATGAGAAGAGAAAATTATCAGTCTGAATCAATTGGTCATAGCCAAAATAATCATCTGGTTCTTTGGTTCTCTAAACAAATAAGTGTAGGGGAAGCTCCTACCTGTGACATTCCCAGCAGATAAGAAGAATCTAGCAATTAATTGAACAAATATATTAGAGAAAGTTAAAAGTAAATGAATCATGTTTTTTAAAGGTATATATTTAAGTATTCTCTTGAACTCCCCAAAGAAGACCAGTTATAAAACATAACCCTTAAAAATATTCTTTTGTAGATGAAGTGTGTGTACCAGCATAGGCATTAACACATATATGATTGGGGCTGGGAATATATTCTACTCAGTTGGTAGAGTGTTTGCCTTGCATGCACAAGGCCCTGGGTTCAAGCCCTAGCACCACAAAAAATAAATCAAAACACATTCTTGATTATTTTCCTGCTTTCTTTTCCCCAAATAGAGAGCAACACAACAGTTATCCCAGTCATTCCAGCTCTTGTGAAGCTTTCCTTCCCCCCATCACCTTTCTTTTTTAACACTGGAAATTTTATTTTGATACTTGAATATTATTCTGTCTTCTAGTTTGAATTTATACTTTAAGTCACTCTTCAATAACTCATGGAAATAACAAACAACATGTAAAAAGAGATTGCTTTCTATATGCTTCTGAATATGGTAAACACTTTAACGTTCCAGAGACAAAATGGGACAGAGTGGACAGAGTTGTTCAGTATTCAGGGCAGCGGCCAGAAAAGGAGATCATGGCGGCAATAAGTCTCACCACTCATGAAACTGACTTACCGGTTGCTGTGTGCAGTCAGTTTGTATGAAGCTGCCTACCAAAGAAGGCAATAGGAAACAGATAAGGCCTTGAAGCAAGGACTTGACCAATCACCAGCTTGTTCAGGGACCAGATTAGATAACCTTACATCCTGCAGGACCAGGATACTGAGCTGCCATCACAGAACTGATAAAACTTGTTGGTGAACACATTTTAACTACTGACAATAAAGAAGAAATCTATTTTTATGCTGGCACATAAGAAATTTATACAATCTTTGTTCCATGCCAGATTCCTGTCACAGCTCCTAAAACTCTGTTACAGAGCTCCTAAAACTCTTAACTGAATGATAAAAATGTCTTTTGTTATTCATAAAAAGCCCCTTTCAATAACATCTGAGTTGATGCTAACCAGGAGATTTAGGATCCCTAGACAGCCTTAGGATGGGACCAGTCACTAGAAAAATTAGAGGATTAGAAAGTTGGAACTTTCAGTGCATGCCAGCTGACCTCTAGGAACTGAGGTGAGGGAGATGGGTGGCCTGCAGATTAAGCTCTATAAAAACTCTTGAACAATGAGATTTGACAAGCTCCTGGATATGTGGATGTAACTGGAGACTGGAGGGCCTCAAGAGAGCTGGAATTCCTGAGCTGCCTTCCCTAGTGTCTTGTTCTTCATTTGGCTCTCTTCATTTGGCTGTTTGTTATCTTTTATAATATCCTTTATAATAAACCAATAAGTAAAAGTGAAGCACTTCTCCAAGTTCTGTGAGCCATTTTAGATAATTATTGAGCCCAAAGAGAGGGGTATGGGAGTGTAGATTTATAGTTGATTGGTCAGAAGTATTGAAAGCCCAGACTTGTGATTGGCATCTGAAGTAGGAGTATTGTTGTAAAATCAGCTTGTAGGATCTGACACAAGGTGAATGGTCTCAGATTTGAATTAATTTATAGGACATCCAACTAATATCTAGAGAATTGGAGAATTTCTCCATGTGTGAAAACCCCACAATCTGATGTTAAGTCTTCTGTGTGAGCATGTAAAGTAATAGAGTATGTGCTCCCCCAAAAAAGTGAATTTAAATTTTCTATGATGATAAGGAAGATGGGGATAGATGTTCAATGGGGAAGTTAAGATGTGCTACAATTCAATTCTTGTTAGGGAGGAATACAGAGGTATTAATCAACTTCATCTTTTAGGGAAAATCATAGTTGAGCACATTATAAATTGAAGAATAGAAATATAATCTGTGTCCAAACTAGAAGAGTGGGTAAATGGAACTCAAAATAAGATGGCAGAAACACATTCAAAGATACCTTTAATCTCTATAAATTAAATTCACCTGATGTTTTATCAGATTGGATTTAAAAATCAAATTATAAACTTCTAAAGATATACACTTCAAAACAAAAGAACACAGAAAGGTTGAAAAACAAGAGATGGAAGGAAAAAACAGTGCAAAGTGAATACAAACAAAAAGAAGACAGTTTTTTCAGGTACTATTAGACAAAATGATATTTTCTTAAAAATCAGTAATATACAAAAGGAATAATTAATGTAGGGAGTGTGTCAATCGTAAGCTTACGGTGTACTTGACACTATAGCCTTGAAATTTATAAAATAAAAACTGAATTATAAAAATCAATGAAAAATTCATTCAGGAAACATATGTCATGCTGGGGTGGGTGGCTGAGGAGAAGTTAATGAATGGGCTATGTACAGAGGTGTATACAGGATTGATGTAACAAGAAGAGCTGGTAAGACACCAAAGAACTAGCAAAAATGACAAGCCATTACTTCCCAGGCATAACAGAACAAGGGAGGGAACAATATTGGATGAATACTGCAGCTATGAAGGAGAGGCCATTCAGAATGAGTTATAGCATACAAGATGGCAGGCAGAACCCTGGGAAAGGGGAAGGTGGATAGAAGGGAGAGAGGATATTCTCTGGCCTCTTTTCCTGCATGTGCTCTGGTATGCTGGCACCAGACTCACCAAGAAAATGTAACTGAAAACCAGAAGGCAAGAAAGTAAGGCAGAGAAGGACCAAGTGTGGATATAATAAGGCCAATGGAGAATAATAAGCACAAAAATTATAGAAAGTAAAGTTAATATAATATTACTAGAAACTGATGATTAAGTGACCAAACATTAGTCCAATACAGAATATTTGCTCTGTATAACTAACAAACTTGATATAAAAGACATGAGATAAATGTGTGGAGAAAGTAGGGGGACACACAGAGAGACAGAGAAACTGCCCCCAACAGATAAGTGTATACATTTTTTCTGAGCATATTTGCAATGGAATATTTTTAAAAGTCTGTCATGAACTACGTCACAAGAGGATCAAATGGTGAAGAACTGATTTACATAAAACACAATGTAATTTAATTAGAAATCAGCCTTAAAAGATAGATTTTTATCTGTACTAATACAAACTAATCTCCAAGATGTTTTTGAAGTGAAAATAATAACATATGGTGGAATTTTATCTATATTGTACTAATATTTGCATAAAAATCATTTATTTTTAGTTATATATGCATGGAAAATATCTGGATACCCAGGAAACCATTAATAGTGGTTGCCTCTGGGGTGGAAGGATAATTTACCTTTTTTTTCCTTCCTGTATTCTGAGTCATTTATACTCTTACTAAGAAACAGAAAAACAACAAACACAAAACTCTGGACTTAAAAATGCTTAATAGAATTGAGATAAGCTATCCTCCATTTTTTTTTTTTTTTTAAAGATTCCCTAGCTATTTGGTAGCATGTAGGATTTTAACCAAGATGAAAATAGCTGACATTGCTCACCTGGTGCTGTGCCAAATTTCCACTTACCTACTTTATTGATTTTTTTCCTACATAAAAAACATTATTGACTCCACTGTTTCTCTTCCCAATGACCCCTCCACTGAGGTGAATTCTGAAAAAATAAAAGTTGAGCTCTCAGACATAAATAACATTCCTGAAACCTCTGAATATAAATGCTGTACTGTTCTTTGAGAATTCATGCTAGGGATGACAGTCAGTCATTTATAGAGTGGTTAAACAGAATCAATATAGAGGGCAAATAAAATCTTCAGAACAAGAAACTAAACATTAACACAACCCATTGAAATGGATGTTGAGAATGGAGCATCTAATTTTTTTTTTCTCCTTTTTCTGAGATAAGGGGTGGAAGTTTGGCTCTGTTGCTCAGGCTGGCCTCAAACTCATGATCCTCCTCATTCAACTTCCCCAGTAGCTAGGAATATAGGCGTGGACCACTGTGCCCAGTTAAATTACTCTGTACATTTTTAAGGTGAATATTCCCTAGTCAGAGACAGTTAACAGTTATCTGCCATACCTGTCATTAACTTGGAGTCTGAAATGTCAATAGCAAAATAATATCTCACCTGACATTTCAAGTGCTAATAGGAACATTTGAACAGAAAATCCTGAGGCACACAATAGTTCTTTAACAGGCTTCCCTATACACGGCAGAATCTACTTTGAAGATCACTGTTTTTACAATTCAAACACTGATTCAGATACAGAAGTCAAGGAGAATTGGCCTGACTACCTAAATAAAGCTGCCACTCAATTGCTTGATTTATTCAATTACAAATCTATGAAATGACAATTAGTGTTCCTGATCTGTCCATTTCAGAAGGCTACATTGAAGGGAGCTATTCTAGCAGTTTATATAAGCCAGATAAAGGGAATCCCTCTCCTTCCTCTTTTCCTTCCTTCCTCCTACCCTCCCTCCCTTCCTTCCTTCCTCTTTCTTGTGCTAGAGATCAAATCCAGGGCCTTAAGCATTCTTCACCACTGAGTCACATCCCCGGTCTTAGAAGTCATTCTCTTTTTAAATTTTTAAAAATATTTTTGTTTTAGTTGTAGATGGTACAATACCTTTTATTTATTTATTTTTATGTAGTGCTTAGGATCAAACCCAGAGCCTCACACTTGCTAGGCAAGCACTCTACCACTGAGCTACAACCCCAGCCCTTAAAAGTCATTCTTGATAACTTCTTATTTTGTACAACAGACTAGGCAGCAATTCTTATCAATTCTATCTACTAAGTTGTCTCTAGAACTTGTCTTTTATGTCCAAGCCTGATGCCACTGAAGGCAAGTACTTGTCCAGGAGCTGCAAAGTGCTGGGTTGGGCTGGTTGGAGTATGGGCAGCTGGCAGAGCCACCATGCCAGTGTGGGCCTACGGCACAGTGAACCAGGGAAGAGGCAAGCCAGGGCATGCCCACCTGTCACCCCATGGTAGACATGGTGCAGCTCTGAACCCCCAAGCATCCACAATCCAAGGACCTCAACTTCCTGCTTCCTCTCAAAGGAGAAAATGAAAGTAAGGCAGACCTGAAAGGAAGTTAAGATTCAAGGATTAGCCAATAGCGTTAGTACTTTTTCAAACCCTGATAATCGCAAATTTGGACCAACAGTGTTGACCCGGGTGCTATATTAACCCCTAGACTAGCACACTTCAGCAGTGACCTGCTATCAGGCCCCCTGATATTCTTCACACTTTCTGTTCTTCACTACTCCTTTTACTCTTGCCTTCCATGGTCCTGTGAATTTCATTCCTCAGATTTACAAGACAATAACCTGGAAAGAAGTTGGTGAGGAGCTGCTGGAGTCTGTTGAAACACTGTAAATAGCCCCCCCCCCCCCCCATTTAGGCCTGCAATACTGAGGGCAGTAACAGGCCATTTGGTAGTAGTGGAGAAGAATCCAGCTTTGCTGGCTTTGACCTTCAGAGCTGACTCTAGTAGGCATCCCCTGCTGTGTTTAGCTGCTAACCCTAAAAGAGACTTTCTCAGCTGCAGAGGCCTGCAGCTTGCATAGGCCCCCAGCCACCAACAGAAGCAGACAATTGAGTTTCATATTAAACTCTGGTTTCACCACAACTATCACACAGACGATCTGGACTCCATTCTCTCCCACCTGGACCACAACAGCAACAGCCTCCTTCCTGACTCCTTGTGTCCCCTCTTGCTGCTTCTAATTGATATATCATAGATCAGTTGAAGTAATCTTTTTAAAAAATGTAAATCTTAACAAAACAAAACAAAACATCCCATAACAAGTAACTCCTGGCTCTGGCCACAGTAGCCTTTTAGTTTCTTGATATTGACAGGCTTTTTCCTACTTCTGGGACTTCCCACCGCCATTTCCTCTGTTCATAACACTCTTCTTTCCTCTACCTTTCATGTTGAGCTAATTCCTTCTCACCCTTCACATTTCAGACTATATGTCATTTTGTCACAGCTGCTTTCCATGATCTCTCCACTTCCTTGATGTGGTCAGGTTCTAAACCATCTAAGAATCTTATAATTTCTTTATAACCCTCATCATGATGTTAATTAGGGGATTCTAGAAAAGAAGTTCCGTGTTGGAGTTCATCATTGGTTTGTAGCTCCTCACATGATGCTTTGCACATAGTTGGCATCCTGTAGATGGTTGTTGAATTATGGCTGAGTGAATGCATATTAAAGCCAATTTGGACTGAACCCAAGTTTGACATACCTACCAGCTTCATCTGGAACCATTAATGAGCCCCACCTCTGGCCCCACCCATTGCAGTTTTACTCACCAGGAGATCTCAGCAAGCTTCCAGCAAAGCTGAAGCAGCATGGATTATAAATCCTTTTATGAAAGCATTCTTATTTTTCCACACTCTTTTTGTTTGATTACAAAAATAAATATGCTCACAAGGAAAACAACTTTCAAAATATTAAAAAAAAAGAAAAAGAAGAAGAAGAAGAAGGGGAAATCCCCCCATCATCTCAACATTCAGAAAAGTGTACATTTTAAATCTCTGGCAAATCTGCGTCATTTCAACTGACTTGCTACCTGTGTTTCAATTTGAAATTCTTTCATCTTTAACTAACAACCATAGCTTGTTTTGTCCTGCCCTACTTGAGAAATTCAACGGGACATAAGTTATAAAACCCAAAATACAGGATGCTGACTAACAGAGGAAAAATTATTTGTTAGTCTGTTATAGTTGTTCATTGTTATACTGCAATTCTTGCCATAAATTAATCTACCTGTCATGATGGAGGTGGGGAGACTAAATATGCCTCATTTCATCTATGGTCTTTCCATTAAATTAACAGACTTAAGAAAATGGCAATAAGTCCTTTTTCTCCTTTCTCTTCTCTAACCTTTTTTGTTTGTTTGTTTGGTGGTGCTGGGATTGAACCCAGGGCCTTGTGCATGTGAGGGCACTCTACCAACTGAGTTATATCGCCAGCCCCTCTCTTCTCTAACTTTTAAAAGGTAAAAATATGCACTCTTTGAAAGAATCTCATCAATAGATTCCACTGTAGGTCACATTTCCTAAGGAATATCTCTACTTGCCAGTTCTCCTACCTCTTCAGATTTTATTGTCATTTAACCAGACTGTTTTCATCCTTTTATTTATTTAAATTTTTTTTAAAGAGAGAGAGAGAATTTTTTAATATTTAGTTTTCAGTTTTTGGTGGACACAACATCTTTATTTTTTATTTGTATGTGGTGCTGAGGATCGAACCCAGTGCCCCACGCATGCCAGGTGAGCGCGTTACCACTTGAGCCACATCCCCAGCCCTGTTTTCATCCTTTAAAAAAAAATCATAATTTCTCTATGACAAATTTAGCTTCAAAATAATAAATGAAATAAAATAATGCCGATGCTTATGGGAGCATGAGAGATAACTATAAAAACTTAGGATATGAAATCTGTGTATCTGCAAAGATGTAGAAGACTAGACAATTATGGGGCCAAATTTAAGAGTCAAGCCTTTTGATAGTAGCATAAGGAAATCCTATTGCAAAGGAAGGCAACAAATTTTAAAAGTCAACCAGCAAGCAATTTTAGAAAACTGTAGCTAGTAACACTAGCCTTTCTTGTTTAAGAAACTCAATGAGAAGTTTGTCACTGCAATGAAGAGCTCACCTCAGCCAGACACAGTGAGCATAGAAACAGCTCTTGAAAAATCTGTGCAGAGTGGCTGAAACCAAGGGAAGACCTGAATAAACCCTCTAGCTTCCTTTGCTTTTAGTTATTTGCTCTCATTTGACTTTAAAAACCACTAATTTTATAGGTCATGCAGCTGAGCAATATATTATTAGTCTCCCACTGTAGCCTGGGGTTATGATGATAACAGTTGCCTAGGTTACTTTTCAGGGACTAAAGCCAATTTTGACTATTTGTGACTGTACAGGTGTCTGATGGGTAATTTCACTGATGTCAAGAAACCAAAGAACTCCACCCTCAAATCATGTTAAAGCCACCATTTTCTGAACACACAACATATGAAGAGCTATGAAGATTTATTATGCATACACAGAGCAGCTTGTTTTTATGGGATAAAGATTACTTCACTTTTCCTCACCACCACTTGCCTTTACCCACACCTTAGACCACCCTGCTTCTTTATCCCATAAGCATCCTTAAACTCTATCTGGGGAGGCAGACTTGAGTCTTGCTCTCCTGGCTCCATGCTTGGCCACCTAGTAAAGAAACTCTTTTTGGCAAAACTTATTTCAGTGATTGGCATACTGTGCCATGGGCCTGGTTTGGAAATAGGGCAGCTTGTTTTTATTTCTAGGACTTGGGCTATCAGCCTGGAAGAACAGCTTTTATACCCATTCTCCTCTAGAATTTTTTTTTTATTTTATTAGTTATTGATGGACATTTATTTATTTATTTATATGTGGTGCTGAGAATTGAACCCAGTGCCTCACACATGCTAGGCAAGTGCTCTACCACTGAGCTACAACCCCAGCTCCATCCTCTAGAATTTTTAAAATAACCTTGTAACATCTTTTTTTTTTTTTTAGATGTTGATGACCTTTACTTTATTCATTTATTTATATGTGGTGCTGAGAATCGAACCCAGTGCTAGGCAAGTGCTAGGCAAGTGCTCTGCCACTGAGCCACAACCCCAGCCTTTGTGACATCTTTTTACTCACGAAAATCACTTGCTTTCAAATAAAATCAAGCAATTTAAAGAAGCTGAAGTTAAAAGACCCTCCTCCTCAGTACTGCAAATTCCAGAAAATAATAATACAGACATGTACTGTTAAAAAAAATGCATGTACTATTTTAAAAAATTCAGGACCTTCAGAAGAGCATCTGCAGATAAAATGAATGTACCTTATAACATCTAACTATGCACAGAGATATAAGCAGCATAATAACAAAATAGGGAAGAAGAAAAAAAGTCAGAGGCTGTTTCATTCTTCCAGCAACTTTATAGCATTTGGAGTCTAGTAGGAAAATTGCTCCTGACCTACCCTGAGTGTATATGAACAAAGAGAAGTCTTGTGTGACTCCTAGTCACAAGAACTGGCATAGCAGACACCAGGGCCTGGATTTGGGGGAGAAAGTGAGGAGCTGAGGCTCATATTTAAGGAGGTATTCACTCTCAGGGCTCACCCTGCTCTTGCATCTTTCTGAGAAATGAGTGCCTCTTTAAATCTTGAGCCCCCAGCTGCTCCTCACTCCCCTGGCCCTGGTCTGGGACCCTGTCAAATGCTATGAAATAACAATAATCATCCATATGATAATTACTCAAAGTAATGCCATATTCTTAATTTTATATAAGTCTTACAACAACCATTGGAAGGAGATAAACATAAATATAATTACCTTCATTTTACAGATGAGGAAATGGAGACTGAAGGGTAAGTGATTTGCTCAGTTATTCCATGAGCAAGGAGGGTACCAATACTGGAATGTGAGCCTTCTGACTTGCATGCTGCTGTTCTCTACTCAGCCCTCTGCTTATATGCCACTCATAGACAGAATTCTGTCTGAATTTCAAGGAGATGACTGTTAGCAGATGTTAAAGAAATTTTCAAAATGCAGTCTCTTGAATACAAACTGAAAGCACTTTGGAAGTTACAGTAAGCTTATTTTCCATATAACGATTCATCCAATCTCTACTTAGAACCAGCACCAAGATTTATATATTTCTTCCCTCTCTGCCCCCAAATCTTTAATCCATGCATTGTAAGAACATATGCTAACATACTTGATACAACTTTTGAGCAAGACTTAATTATATCTTTCTAAGAATCCACCCATGTTATCCAAATTCATGATATTCTCTTCAGTATAAGGTCTAAGTAAAAATCAACCATATTTGACAAAATGATATTTTTCTTTGAAAAAATATGAACTAAATAAAACATTGACTTGGAAATAATGTGATTCAATGTTGTTTAACCCAGTGTTATCACAAAAGGCAATATCTACATAGAATTCTGGTTATATATAAATGATTTTATTATATTATATTTTCATTACATTATATTTTTCATTAAAATCTGTATTAAATATATTAAAATGTACCTAACACCATTTATAATATGTCAGACAAAATATTCAAACATTTTTTAAGTTCTTGGGGAGTGGAGTAGTTCTATGAAAAGTTCTTTGATTTTAAAAAGGTTGTGTTGTGGGGGAGGGTGAATAAACAGACCTAGCCAGGAAAAGTGGCCTGTCAAAGGTCACTCAGTGGCAGGGCGGACTACATCTCCTGATCCCCAATTCAGAGCTCTTTCCCTGAACTCTGCTTCCTCCTGATAACATATCAGGTGATTTTGCCTTCATGATAAAAGCAAACCAGAAATATTGCACAACTCAATTTTCTATTTTCTTACTAACACACAAAATAACTTTCATTAAAGTTCAAGTCATTAAAGTTCAAACCTTCCTTTCCCACCAGATTAAAGGCATGCAGAAATTTTAACCAAATATCTACACAATAGTTAAGTTTCCTATGTTACTTTGTGCAATGGAAAAAACAACAACAACAAAAAAGGTTTGCTGTGGAAAAATAAAGATCACAAAGAGGAATTATAAGTTTGTGTCATATTAAGGTTGCTTTTTCTTCCTATGTCTGATACCTAATCTTGTGTTGTTTTCTTATAATAGTAAAACTCATCAAACACGATCCAGGCTTATTTTTCCACCCGGTCTTTCCTTGACTTTATTTGTGCATAAGTGGGATTGGGAGAAAGAAAGAGCTCTTCTCCCAGGCAGAGGACACAAGTAGCTCTGTGTCTGTGGTAAATAAGGTGGAGCAGTTTCAGAGGCTGAGGGAAAGTGGAAAAAAAAGCAACTGTGCCCACAGACACTCATACGCATGAATGTCCCAAAGGAACATTGTAAACTACCTCATTCAATCTTCACAAGGCCCTTAGGAGGTAGGAAAAAATCATTATTCCTATTTTCTAACAGGAGGAAACTCATTTGCTAAGTGACTGTTTCAGATCATGCTGCTAGGACATGACAGAACCAGGATCTGAACTGAGGCTGTCTGACTCCAAAAACCCACAGGGAAGAAAATTTTCTCCCTTCTATTTCCAGAGGTTGGTTTACTATTCCTGCCCATTAAAATAGAAAGGGATATGAATGAATGGCCAGGGCTGTTTCAGGGACAAGTAAGCCCCTAATGAGGAAGAACCCTAGAAGTATGTTTCCCAATAAAGTTGCCAGGAGACTTTTCATACAACATAAATTAACCATTTAAAATAGTACAGTTCAGCAACATTTAGGATGTTGACTATGTTGTGCAATCATTACCTCTAGTCCCAAGACTAGTTGTAACCACCCAAAAGGCAGCCTGTGAAGGCAACCACAGTAATGCACTTTTGTAGAAATGCTATTAGGAAGTCTGGCAAAGTAGACAAAAATGACACAAAAAATTCCAGTGGAATGGCAAGAAGTGAGAAAAAGCAAACTGAACAGAAGAGAAACCAAATAGTCCTTAAATCTTATTTAACAAATACCTTGTTGAAAGATTATAATGCATATAATGTACTTGTGCTGGAATGTTGAATACTGTGGGGGGATGTAAAAGTAGCTTTAATGAATTCCATCTGCTTTTGGTCTTCACAAGGGCTTGTAATTTAATGAATTTAGTTGTGTCATACAATGTACAAGGAAAGGAAAAGAAAAGTGGGTCTAGAGAGAGAAGGCATAAGATACCAAAAGAATAGGACAGGAAATGCATTTGTTCTCTTTAGATAAAAAAAAAAAGTCTTGTGATTGGACCCTGATGACTTCAAGACTAAAGAGCAGAGAAGTGCCAGATAAGCTGCTGAAACATGAAGTAAGTCCTTTCTTTCCGGAGGGAATGAGGAAATTGAGGAGACAGTTAAGGCCTCGTGGGACTGTGGGTCTTTATGGTGTGAGGTATGTAGATCCTCTCACAAGAAAGTATAGGCCACGTCCAAGAATCAGGGGGAACATTTGAAAAGAGGGATAATGGGAGGATAGGTTTAATGACATCATTTCATAGCAGGAATGTGAGCATTTAAAACATCAAGAGAGCCCAACTTGGTGGCACATTCCTATAAGCCTAAGCGGCTCTGGAGGCTGAGGAAGGAGGATTTCAAGTTTCAGGCCAGCCTCAACAACTAAATGAGGCCCTAATCAAATTAGCAAAACCCTGTCTCAATTTAAAAAAATTTAAAAAGGGATGGGAATATGATTCGCTGGTTAAGCACCTCTGGGTTCGGTACTAAAACAAAACAAAACCCATCTAGTGAATGAGTAAAATGAGCTGGATATCAACAAAGTAAAAAAATGGGACATAAAAAAGGCTATGACAGAATTGAAGATATAAAGTATATAATAATGATATACTCAGAAAAGGAAGAAAATGCAAAAATTAGAAACCAACCTTCAATTCCGTTGTTCAACATGATATAGCTAATTCATGCCCCAAAAAGGTGATAAAGAAGGTTATCAATGAAATGTGAAGTTTGAGAACCTAATGATTAATATAGGTAATTATCAAAGAACTCTTAGAGGAGATGCATAGGTATAAAGGAATTAATAATAAACCTGAGCATTAAAATAATCTTTAAAAGGCTTTAGGAAATAAAATAATAAATGTAACTAGTTAATATGAAGGAAAATATAAAACAGAAGTGTTTGTGTGTGTGTGTGTGTGTGTGTGAGTGTGTGTGTGTGTGCTGTACCAGGGATTGAACCCAGGGGCACTTAACCAAGGTGCCACATCCCCAACCATTTTTTATATTTTATTTACTGACAGAGTCTTGCTAAGTTGCTTAGGGACTTGCTAAATTGCTACAGCTGACTTTGAACTTGCAATCCTCCTGCCTCAGCCTCCCAAGCAGCTGGGATTATAGGTAGGTGCCAGGTGCCTGGCCAAAACAGAAGTATTTTATAAAATGTTTTACTTAACAAATGATGGTTACACAATAAAATTATTCAGGATATGGGCAGCAACCATTGCATGGACTATGACTAAATGTTTTTGGAACCACTTAGCCAAGCTTAGGAGAAAGAGCGAAAAGAATTATAGTGTCAAAGAAAAAGCTTATGGGTCTTATTCAGAGGAAGGGAGAAAGATGAGTAGTAAAACATCATCCTGAAAATAAAGATTCAGAAAGCAGAAACTTACAGACATGTAAGTCATGAGAACTGGGAATGCGAGTGAAATACATTAGAAGAAGGAAGCAAGTGAAATAAATAAAGGGTCATCAAGGCATCCTAGAGAAATCCAGCACAGTTATAAGTGGAATTGTTGGGGGTTTGTTTTCATGGTGGATAAACAATTATAAATAGGTATAAAATAAAAGTATGTATGTTTAGAAATAAAACATAAGAATCAAATGAGTTGATGGAGGTGAAATTAATTCAAAACTATAAGCCAAGATAGAAATGAAAGGCATTATTTCACTGGAGCATAGCAGCTATGGGCTTTCATACACAGCACAAAGGGCAGAAGCTGGTCAAACATCACAAAAGGTATAGGAATGAATAAAATAGTTTTAGATATAGATATAAACACTTTGTTTTACTTATGTAATTACTGATATATGTCTAAATTCATATGTATATTACATATATGTGTATATGTACATGTATATAAAAAAATAAACCCTATCTTAAACCAGCCATTGCTGGTTCAAACTGTACATATTTCATAGAATGTCTATTCTTTGCCAAAAAATAAATAAAAACAGTTATGATTTTTCTCAGTGCTCCATAAGAGGCAATGTCTCAAGTGCATTTTTCACTTTTCTGGACAAAAACATGTATGCTCCATTTACAGAGCTGGTGTTGATCTTTCTCACAGGATTGCATCAGATTTCACAAACATTTGAACATCACAGCACACAAACCCATGAACCCAAACCACAGTTGAAACCTGACTACCATACAATGTTTGAAACTAGATATCAATGACATGCTAAACTTGCAGTTTAAGTTATTGTATGTATCTGTCATAGTTTTCTTCAATGAACTCAGACATAGGCAGAGAGATAAGTGATAGATAGATAGATAGATAGACAGACAGATGATAGACAGATGATAGAGAAATTTCTGATTTTAAAAAAGTGCCCTGTGAGGCCTGGGGGTGTAGCTCAGTAGAGTGCTTACCTAGCATGTATGATGCACTGGGTTTGATTCTCAGCACTGAGTATAAATAAATTAAATAACGATTTTTTTAAAATGTGCCCTGTGAACTATTTAAATTTGATTGAAGGAATTTGGATAAGTTCAAATTCCTTTGATAATTATAATATCATTTATTCGTTGAACAAATATTTGTGGAGAAACTACTCTGTGCCAGTATCTTGAGGGATACATATCTGCAATGATATTGCTTCTAATTATCTAGTAAGATAAGACATTAACATAAATATCTAAAATATAGAGTAGAAAGTGGTAACTGCCATGAGAGAGATGTGGACAAGTTGCCACAGGAATTCAGGGAAAAGATAAGTTGTCTATGGTTGAGAAACCAAGAAAAGCTGGGGGAAGTGATGGG